TGATAAAACAATTGAATCTAACGGTTAAGGATCCCACGTTGAAAAGATAAGTTGTCTAATAGGTATGAGTTATTCTTCATCCATTGCCAATTGATTTTAAGGTATTCGAGCTCAAAACGCTCAAATGAGCGTTCAGTCTAAAAAATGGAATCTGGTCAAGATCGATGAATCAGAAGAGCTAATTATATTAATACTAAACATACATTATCGTATTTGAAATGGTATCCATAGATGGAAGGTGGCGATGCCGAGTGTGGTGAAATACTCAATAAAGATAATATCAGACGCAGGTTTGGGAATGGCAATGTTCAGCTTAGGTACCTGTGTTTGTGTAATGTACAGTATATGATTTGGTTGTTTTTAGTGTAAAAAAAGAGAGGGAAAAATGGGTGTGGTGTGTGGTGTAATGCGCAGGATTGTTCATGGCGCTGCAGCCGAGAATCATAGCGTGTGGGGGAAAGAGGGCGACGGTGGGGATGGGGATCAGGTTCATATGCGGACCCATCGTAATGTCGGCTGCATCACTCGCCGTTGGCCTGCGCGGCGTTACGCTACACGCTGCCATTGTTCAGGTACTATCCTGTCCCTCATCTCGCCAGCTTTATATTTAGCTTCAACACCCTAATTTTCTGACCACTCACTCACCACACATCCCACCCTTCTCGAGAATCTCAAAAAAACGTTTCAATACTATTTTCTATCGAGGATCTCACGTTGAAAAGATAACCGACCTAACAAAGGTTTATAATATAGGTGTATTCATATTCATGGGGTTGCATCTCTATTTTTTTAACGGGATGCTCATTTCAACGTTTTGGGTTCTGATACCATGCTAATATTTATGGAGTTTTACATCTCAAAACCAATTGTCAATGAAAAAAGTAGTTCATGTCTATTATAAACTTTTGTTAGATCTCTTATTTTTTCTGAGATTCTAAGTTGGACTATTTCTCTCATATTTGAGATAGAAACCTATAAATACTGATATGGTACCGGTATTAGAGCCCAAAAAACTCATACGATCATCTGGTCCAAAAATGATATTCGGCCAAAATTGGTGAGTCCAAAAAAGCCACCATCTTAATATAGGTGGACTACTTCTCTTATAGTTAATTGATTTTGAGATAGAAATTGAATATTGATATTTTGGTTCATYTTGATTTKCTGTACTTTGAAAGTGATATTATTTGCTCCCTTTATTTTCATSTTTAAATCATTTCTTTAGATCATTATTTTAGTATGACACTAAAGTTACTAAATTTYTAGAAATGAAGATATGAATTATTTGTAATAAATTAAAGGTTTCACTAAAGTTACTAAATTTCTAGAAATGAAGATATGAATTATTTGTAATAAATTAAAGGTTTCAATTGTGTGTAAAATTTGTGTTAAAATTTTGYAAATAAAAATTAAATATTTTTTAATAGTATAAGAACCAAAACAAACTAAAAATRAACTAAACCAAAAATACAAATATCAAAATASTATTTAAGCCTCSARAAAACCATCTCAGAGCCATTCGATTGTACAGCTACAGRCTTTTTATTTGATTAATCAACGCCCATACACTAATCACTCCCGAATATAGTAAGTAATGTGGTGCAATCAAATCCTTAGTTTGGGGATCATTATCCAATCAAATAATCCAATSACTGAAATAGTCGATMGAAATTTTAAGATTAAAACGAAATGGTTTAGAGGTTAAAATAGACATTTTAAAATTCAATCAACCTAAATAATAAAATTGGATTTAGATTACCTAAATTTAAATGCTAAAAAGGAATTTGATYTTTTTTTCTTTTTTCCTCATTTTCTTCAATTTTGGATTGTGTTTGATATGTGTATGTTCAGGCAGCTCTTCCACAAGGAATTGTGCCCTTCGTGTTTGCGAGGGAGTACGGGCTGCATCCAGATATTCTCAGTACTGGGTTAGTATCATTTTCTTTCCTTAATATTTTAGTTTTTATTCACGAGTTTAAATATTATTTTAATCTTAATCTATTTTGRTCSGTGTATTTTCAAAAYATTTATTTTGATAGCCTCTATATTTTCAACTTAGTTTATATCTTAAAAACGTTTGTTTTAGTCTATAAACTTTTTAAAAAATAATCACTTTGGTCTAGATGACAATTTAAGCGTAACACATTTTGTTCACTAAATTTTTTGAGATATAGTCATAAATTTGTATTAATTGMGTTTAATTTGGTATAAGATTTATGTTTAAATTGTGTCAAATAAGGACCAAACACTACAAGAAATTTGGGATTCGGCGACGAAGTCTTACGACATATAGTTTCATCGTCAAAAGACGCTTTCGTTTTGAAATTACAATGTTTTCGTCGCCAAACGTTTTGACATATAGTTTCGTCGCCAAACATTTTGAAATTACAATGATTAAAATGAACGAAAATTAATAGTATATTTCTTCTAGTATAAAATATGTGWTAAAACAATATTTAAACCTTATTCSTGGAATATACAAATTATTTTTTTGAAAATGGAATATACACATTATTGAGTCTAAGAGTAAGTCTCACATAATTTTTTAAAGATTAAAAAGTTTTTTTTTTTAGTGTTACATGCTAAAAATGATTTTGAAAATTTTTAAATGGTTAAAGAGTTTAATGAGTACTCTAAAAAAAACTGTTTGTACAAAAACAAAAATTCATATTTACTAGTAARAGAATTATATATATACCATTACCTGCATTATATTTATGTGAGAAAATTAAAATTGATTTTTTTTTTTTGAGATAAAAATTAAAATTGATTTGAAAGCTATGAGTTGAGGGTGTTGGGATATGCAACATGCATAGATATTTAGCCATGAGCTTCTAATTATAATTTAGTTGGATAATTAATGTCATCATATTAATTATCATAAACTAAAGAGAAATACAATAATCAAAATTTCAATTAAGAATAGTAAAATACAGAACCCTTTTATCAGGGAGAAGGACAAAATAAACAGGATCAAAGAATCAATTACAATTTTACATAGGAAAAATGTTATATCTTAAATTAGAATTAAATATATTATTTTGGTATACTTCCAAATTTGGTTTATTTTGATTTATGGTATTTTCAAAACATTCATTTTGGTCTTTATACTTCTGGCTTTTATCTATTTTGATCCCTCTACTTTAAAAACGTGACTGTTTTTAGTCATTTCATTTCCTTTTCCATCTCCTTTTTTGGACCACAATTTCAACCTAACACTATATASTCCATAAATTTCATGAAATATAGTTATAACTTTGTATTAATTAAAGAGTTTGACCGTATAGAATTTGTGTTAATTTTTTTTTAATATGAAGTATATGAACCAAAGCAAATATTTTGAAAATACAAAGATTAAAATAGAAAATAAAAATAAAAATACAGGGACTAAAAGAACCAAATAATTAGCTAAATGTATAGACCTGTGCAACATTACCACGTAGTTCTTTTTTTTTATTTTGGTATATTTCTCACCTACTTTAATAAAATGGTTCCGATATCTCTAACTCGTGTTTTTGTTAATAATATTTCAGGGTGATATTTGGAATGTTAGTCTCTCTACCAGTAACCCTCCTCTATTACATACTGCTGGGCCTCTGAAGATTGATCATATAAATTAGAAGCAGCAATAAAAGGCAAAAGAGAATCCAAAGGCATTGAAATTATCCCATCACTCAACATGACAAAAACCCCAATTATAAGTCGACCAACTTCTTCATGTCGTTTCAGACAATCATGTTCAAAGCCGACAATTGGTGTATTGTCATTAAACTGTCGATGCCCAAAGTCAAATGGGGTTTTAAGGTTTTCCCATTTTTTCTAAAGAGAGTGGGAATGTATAATTGTTCTTCGAAGTTTCAGTGGTGGCCGAAAGTGGGAGTTTGAAAAATGTGTGTGTGTGTGTTTTTGTTCTTGATTAAATGGCTTATGATTATGGTCGGTACAGGCATGGATTTTTTCTTTTTCTTTTTTACTTTCTGATTGTTTGCTTAAAGTTTCAGCAACCATTTAGTAGATATGGGTTTTGTGTTGAAGAATTAGTAATGAGGAATGGATATTTTAGTTTCTATAAACATCATAATGACAGCTTTCTAGGTTGATCAAAAATCAATAATCATCCATATACATGAATCAAAGTTGTTGAGAAAAATACGTGCAATAAGCAATATTCCTAGTCCTCAAATCGAGCTACCCAATAGAGTTTAAATATTACCTTTTCCCCTTCCCCAATTATGAGCAAGTCATAGTAAACAATGCAATAAAGGAAATACAAGCCCACACAAAACGACACAAAGATTTATACTAATTTACCTTAAGCATGAGCTACGTCCAATCTTCTAGATGTGTGGGTGTTGAAATTAATTAAATTAATTCATTAAATGGGTAACAATTTATGATAAATTATATGTAGTACTATTCATGGGTAAAATAAGTGGTCTAGTTAGGGCCCATAAACTTCCTATGGTGTGGCCCGTTGGGCAGATACCAATCCGTTGATTCTAGGGGATTGTTCGGGATTTTGGAATGAAAATAAATGATAGAGCACAAGTGTACACCTGTCAACAAGTAGTAAAACAGAATAAGTATTCCGAGTATCGATCCTCAAGGACAAATGAAGTATTTTTAATGAAAATGATATCGATCGGTGACTTTGCAATTGAGTTTGGGGTGACAAATATCAAGGATAATGTTGATTTTAGTATTTTAAGGCTCAATGTAATAAACTCAGCCCAGTTACTTCGAACTAGCTAAAAATACAACAATTTTTTCCAACTAGGGCACCAGGCACCTCTCAATATTTTTCATCGGTTTTGCTTCGCCATCTCCTTATGTCTAAGTGATTTTGAAGGTATAAGTTCATCCGTAATATGTCTATTAGAAAATTGAACTTAATAAAACCAACCATAACCTTGGGTTGAGATCCTATGTCTAGCCTACTTGAGCGAAATCTTTATATCTAAAGTCTTTCTCTCCAAAGTTAAATCCTTAAAGTTGTGGAAATGTATCAACTCTTTCTGTATTTATGCTTGGTTAAAACATTAATTGAACAAATTAAGTTTTAACTCTGTAAAACAACCTTAAGTGATAAAGGAAGAGAAAACACATTTTGCCTTGTTGGATTTTAAAAACTTTAGCTAATCATCCATAACCGGGCTCGGGAAAATAAATTTAGTTCATAACTTTAGAGGAAAAACATAATTTAACATTGATGTAAACAAGATACATGATTAAAAGATTAATAGAATTAAAACAAGCTAAAAATGGTGGAGTTGTAACCCGAATGACCCTAACCCATTCTCTTTCAAGATTGGGGAGCAGTACTCAGTCAATTACACAATATTGTGTGATTATAACTTCATAGAGGGAGAGAGAAAGATGAATATCAAAGAACTTGCTGATGAACTTAAAATAAGCGAAGTTTAAAACAATAACAACTCAAAACTTAAAGGGAAAACGTAAATAAGCTGAGAGTAAAATGTCTAAAACTGAAATGATCACTTAAGGATGATGAATGAAGTGAGGGGAGCTGCTGTATTTATACGAACTTCAAGGTGGTTAGGAGGGTGAGACACCCGTGGAGAGCCATCCCTTTACAACATCGTTTAGTTGGTTTGTTTGTTGAATTGGTCATGATCAATGCATGGAAGACACGTGGAGGGGCTTAGGGAAGCTTCAAAACACACAAAAACTTGCGTTTTACATTAAGGGTATTCTCGAAATTGGGGAAGGCGCCTAGCTTGGAATTTTTCTGCACAAATTTGTAATTTCCGTCAGAAATCAACTCTAAAGTATGTAAAAATGTCTTATATGCATGTATAACCTAAGATAACCCCGAATGAAAGATTTTGGACACTAAAGTAAGCTTAAAACACGATTTCTGAGTGTAAAATGGTAGAAAACAGCACCTAACTAGTTCTTTTTTATCCTTGTAAACAAGGAAAATCAGGGATTATAGTAAACCCTAGAATCAACTTATAAATACAGAGTTATAGTCCCCATTATACTATACTTCTTTAGTTTTCTATTTCCCATCTAATAGAGAATATTGCCCATCTTTGGTCTAAGGCTGCATAGTTGAGGAAGACCCAAACCACCAAATATTGCTACAGGAATTTTGGAATCTCAACTCATTCCAACTCATGGATCCAGGTAATTCGAAATAACTTATAGTTCTTTGGCCTACTCCCATGCATAGATCCTATAATAAAGTTTTTTGTTTTCTAACAAGTGGTATTAGAACTAGTTTTGTATGGTTGTTAGCTAAATTAAATATTTCATTGTTGTTATGAATAAATTTGTTGATTGTTTATTTAGTCAAATTTATTATTAAACAGCATGAAATCTGAATTATTACAACTATTTGGATTGGTCAGTTATTGGACAATTTTGAATGATTTAATTTGAAAATAGTCTCAATTTATTGTTAATTCATTTGATGAAATTTGATATATATGTTCTTCCCAATATTTTCAAATCGATCATAATATAATCAATTCAGTTACTGTTTAAATTTAAAAAAAAACTTTTAAAGATTGCGGCACTGGCATGAAGATTCAGATTAAAAAAAAAAAAAAGGTTTTTAAGATTTTCGCAGTGCCGCATGTTGATCCAGATTATAAAAAAAATTAAGGTTGCGGCACTCCAGTGGAGTGCCGCGTGAGTCTGCTGTGCTGGGGTGCAAACTCTAGCACATTTACAGATCGTTGTAGTGGGCTAAGCCCACTGCAACTTAAAGGTATTTATATATATGTTTTTGTAATTTAATTTTTAATAAGTATTTTATATATTTATAAAATACAGTAAATATTTTTGGCATATACTGTATTTATATTTTTTTTTGTAATTTAATTTTTAATAAGTATTTTATATATTTATAAAATACTGTAAATATTTTGGGCATAAAAAGTACAGAGGATTGTTTATTTATTTATTTTTTAAGTTGTGCTAATTAAAGTTGACTACTATGGTGAATAAATTTATATTTTATTTATTGGTAGCAAAATTTGTCTAATTTCTTTAAATATTTTGATGCATGAAATATGCTACCAAAGTAGTCTCTATTTTATAATTGGAGTATTTAAAGTTTTTAGATGTAATGTATTTGTTGCTTATGCGGATTGTGATCAGCCTAAAGGAAGGTTGCAATTTGGTCAAACAACAAACAAACATGCAATAATAAATATGAATAACATAAGGTTGTGTCCTTGAAGTTTTTAGTCAGCCTAAAGGAAGACTATTATCTATAAGGAATGAGTTATTAATGTTTTATTATTGTACATCACTAACAAATTAACATTTTTGTCCAAAGACTGAATGTAGATGTTGCATCAGGTATCTCACTTGTCCTCATAAAGTTTATTTAGAATGTCATTAATATTTATATATATCTGTGTGACATTACTTACTATATTGAGCTTGTGCTTTTTATACAGTTAAGGTTGCTAATTATGATAATATGTCCACTCAAGTCAACAACATTCCTAGACGGAATGAGGCTAATTTTAAGGACTGGAAAGAAAACATCCATATAGTACTTGGATGTATGGATTTAGACCTTGCATTAAGGGTAGACCATCCTACTTCAACTGAGGAAAATCCTAATAAAGTTGAAATTGAGAAGTGTGATAGGTCTAATCGCATGTGTTTAATGACATGAAGCGCTCAATTCCAAAAATGTTTAGAGGCTTTATTGTTGAGGGAACGAGTGCCAAAGGCTTTCAAAAGGAAATGGAGCAGTACTTGAGCAAAAACGATAAGGCAGAGGCGAGTACCCTTATGACAAAACTCACCCATTCAAGATACGTTGGTAAAGGAAACATAAGGGAATACATAATGCAAATGTCAAATGTTGCAGCAAAAGTTAAGGCACTGAAGTTGGAAGTTTCTGAAGACTTTTTAGTGCATTTGGTTTTGAACTCTCTTCCAGCAGAGCATAGCCACTTCAGGGTGAGTTACAACACTCAGGAGGACAAATGGTCCCTGAATGAGCTAATCTCTCATTGTATTCAAGAGGAAGAGAGGATGCAGCGAGAGAAGACAGAAAATGTTCACATCGCCTAGTGTAAAGAGAAAGAGAATGAATAATGTTGTGGAATCTTCTAAGTAGAAAAAGGAAAATAAATAGGATTTAGGACCCGCTTTTTCTTTTGCAAGAAGACTGGGCATATGAAAAAGCAGTGTGTCAAATATGCTTCGTGGCTATTGAAGAAGGGTATGTTTCTCTCCGTTGTTTGTTATGAGATTAATCTAGCTTATGTACCTATGCATACGTGGTGGGTAGATTCAGGTGCTACTACTCACATAAGTGTATCTATGTAGGATTGCATTTGGAGCCGACCGCCAAGTGATGCTGAGGCTTTCATCTACGTGGCTGACGTCAATAGGGCAAAGTAGAAGCAATAGGAATATTTAAATTATCTTTAGGAACTGGTTTTCATTTGGATTTGTTTTAGACTTTTGTCGTCATTATTTAGATGGAATTTAATTTTTGTTTCTTCATTAGACAAATTTGGTTATTCTTGTTCATTTGGAAATAAAAAAACTAAGTCTTTTGCATAATTCAAATATTATTGGTACTGGTTCATTGATTCATAATTTATATATGCTTGATAATGTTCCTTTTGATAATGAAACCTTGCATGTTTCATCACGCGGTACAAAGCGAAAATTAAATGAAAATTCTTGTACACTAGGACACAAACGATTAGGACATATCTCTTACACTATAATTAAAAGACTCGTGGATGAAGGAATTCTTGATTCACTTGACCTAACAGATCTTCAGGTTTGTGTTAATTGTATCAAAGGAAAAGAAACAAACAAGAGGAATATATGTGTTGAAAGAGCTAAAGAAGTCCTAAAAATGATACATACTGACATATGTGGACCATTCCTTATGACTTCATTAAATGGACAACAGTATTTTAT